GTCGTAAGCAAGCAAGCAAGCATACAAGCACGCAAGCAAGTGAACTTAATACAAGTATAACCCGTAAAAACAAAGTTTTTCACTATCTATATATATAAAATCGTGAATGTCTGTCTGTCCGTCTGTGTGTGTGTGTGTGGATTTCGGACCATACGCACTTTCATTGGACGGCGGTTGCCCCTGGCAACGGATAGCGACGCCTTCGCCGCTTTCATTGGACCTGGCAACGGCTAGCGACGCCTTCGCCAAGGGCTGCAGTTTCATTGGACGGCGGTTGCCCCTGCCAACGGCTAGCCACGCCTTCGCCACTTTCATAGGCTCCGTAAATAATTAAATAATAGCCATTACACATTATTGTTGGAGCGCTGAGGGGGGGGGGGAAGGCACGCCACCCGTACCCTGCCCTCTGCCGGCTGGACAATTTTGGCGAGGCCGCAGGCTCTGCACGCTACTAGGCCTCGACACCCACCACGCCACTCTGAGGTAAATTCATCAAAGTTTTTCCTACTCTTCACTCCACTCCCACCACAATGTGTGCAATTTATATTACTTTTAAACCCAACGCGCCAACAATCGATTACTTAAATGTTCACTGTACAAATAGTCACTAAGCTGGGTCAGCGTACTGCCAGTCTATCATGTAGACTGTAGCCTGCTTATTAAGCTCGGTGAGCGTACTGCCACTCTATTATGTACACTCTAGCCTGCTTATGAAGCTGAGTGCGTGTACTGCCAGTCTATAATGTGGACTGTAGCCTGGTTATTATAATCGATTCTTTATATGTTCTTTGTACAAATAGTCATTAAGCTGGTTGAGCGACCCCAGTTCGATTCCAACTCACGCCCACCACCGCTGACGATTATTTGAAACGGACCTGGCCCTCCCCTAGGTCTACTCAGCCTCAAACGCGTAACTGCTGTCGTGTGTGAACATCGTCACTGGGGAGACAAAGGCGGCCGGGCATTGTGGATCCAAGTCCCGGGCGAAGCCGGGTCATGTGTATGTGTGTATGTGTTTATGTGTATGTCTGTGTGTCTGTATGTATGTATGTGTGTATGTGTGTGTGTATGTGTTTGTGTGTGTGTGAATGTATGTGGGTTTTTTTCTATGTGTTTATGTGTATGTCTGCGTGTCTGTATGTATGTGTGTATGTACGTGTGTGCATGTGCTTGTGTGTATGTATGTGTGTGTCTATGTATGTGTGTGTATGTCTTTCTGTGTATGTATGTGTGTGTATGTATGTGTGTTATGTGTCTGTCTGTGTGTCTGCATGTATGTGTGTGTGTATTGTGTATGTGTTTGTATGTGTTTGTGTGTTTACGCTCGCATTACACAAATGTGTTGCAGGTCTAAGGCGTTCCTTGCGTAGCATTGCCGCTTTATTATTTCAGTCGTTTACTGCCGTACGCACCCTGAAAGTCGTGTGTGTCTGCAGCAAGCGCGTGTATGTGTACCTATGGACGCGCGCGCGTGTGTTGTGTAGGGGGAACGGTAGTGTAGTGCTTAGCGTGCTGCCTGTGTCTGTGTGTGTGTGTCTGTGTGTGTGTGTCTGTGTGTCTGTCTGTGTGTGTGTCTGTGTGTGTGCATGTGTGGTGTGTGGGGAGCGGTAGTGTAGTGGTTAGCGTGCTGTCTGTGTGTGTGTCTCTCTGTCTGTGTGTGTCTGCGTGTGTCTGTGTGTGTGTCTGTGTGTGTGTCTGTGCGTGTGTGGTGTGTGAGGAGCGGTGGGTGTAGCGCTTAACGCTACGCTGCGCTACCAACCCGGCGAACCCAGTTCCATTCCCGCTCACGGCCACCACCGGTGACGATTATTTGAACCTCCCCTAGGTCGACTCTGCCTCAAACGAGTAACTGCTGTAGCGTATTAACATCGCCACTGGGGAGACAAAGGCGGCCGGCCGTGGTGGATACAAGTCCCGGGCGAAGCCGGGTAGTACAGCTAGTAAATCCTTTATATGCGTGGCGGCTAGAGTCCTCTCGTCCTCTGGCTTGAGATGGCTGCCACCTGTGGGTCAGATGATTGCATTGCACCATTAAGCAATTGGTAATTAAATATAATATTTTTGTCCTAAAAAGTGTAACATTTTGGATTTTTTTTATCACGAACATTAATCGTCACGCACAACGAGTCTGTGTGGAAAATGTCAGCTCGATTGGATCACGGGAAGTGGGTTAAAAAACGAGCGAAAGATTTGCACGGTCCTAAGCAAGCAAGCAAACTTAATATAAAGGATTTGAAAATATATTCGCCTGTGGAGGACGCGGGGACCGATCCTGCGACCTTTGGCATGGGAAGCGAGGGCACTACCAACTGCGCTACTCCACCACGGCCTGTGGAGGGGTTACGCTCTGGGCTCTTGCACTGTGATGTTCAGCCAAAGCCATGAATGCGTTCTATTTGAATATATGTAAAATACATTTTTTTTGGCTAAAAAGTGTAAAATTTTGGGAATTTTTTTTCACTAACAATAATTGTCTGGCACAACGAGTCTGTGTGGAAAATGTCAGCTCGATTGGATCACGGGAAGTGGGTTAAAAAACGACCGAAAGATTTGCACGGTCCTAAGCAAGCAAGCAAGCACGCGAACTTAATATAAAGGATTTAATAAAGGATTTAAAAAGAGCTTCATAGCTCATCGGATTCCTCCGGTATAAATTTTCTGATTGTCTTAATCAACTGATTGCTAGTCTACAAGGCCTGAAAACAAATCATTTTAACGTTTGTGACAAAACAAGATAATTTGTTGAAAAACAAACTGCAGTTTATTATTCTGCAAGTAGAGAGAGATAATTGTCAATCATTTCTAAGGTTGAAAATTAACTGAAACTGCACCCAGACCTGATTGCTGACATGAAAGAGCACTGCCATTGCCTGGTTGCAGATTTCAGTGACTCCTGCCCTGAAGATGCCACGAAAGAAAATTGGATCGGAGACCCGTTTTCACTTGAAGAACACTTTGCCAAACCGCTTAAGGAAGGGGAGCGTCCAATCGAAGTTTCATGTGACGGTCAGCTTCAGCTGGACTTCAGGTGAATCAGACAGGGCCATTGTCATTTTTTACTCCATTCTGTACAACTTATCGAAATTCACTGCTATGATTTCCATTACAAACCACACACAGGACAACGCTGAATGTAGAAGCAGACCTCCGGCTGAAATTAAGCTAGATTTCACCAGACAAGCGACAACTGCGCCCCGTCAAGCAGTCCAATTAAAGACGTCCCAAAAACGCCAAAAGGATCTCTGGAGGGGGTAAGTTTGTTCTGTCTTTTTCTAATTTTTAACTGTTTTATATCTTATCTCAATGACATTTATATAGCGCCTTTATCAAGGCGCTTTACATCAATTATAAATTGTACATAGCCGTCATTGATAAAAAATATATTTAATGAATGCTGAAGGTTGTGATGTTGTTTTAATATAGTCTGTTAATTATGTGGATATATTTTTTGCTGTGGTTGTACTTGAGGTTGTATTGTGTTAAATTGGTGGTATATAATCTTCTTGGTTCTTTCGGTAAAGTCACGTAGAAGAGAAGTAATAAAATAATAAAAATAAAACATAATAAAATAATTATCACGACGTTTCGGCCACAACGCAAGCAGCCGTCCTCAGGTGAAGAATGAAACACCACCAAGCTTGGAGCGTATATTTAAGCTGGGTTGGAGGGGGGGAGGTGGGAAGAAGAGAGCCTTGACGAAATAATTTGCATATCAAGAGAAATTTAGCATATGGAAAATGCGTAGGAGGTGGGCGGGGGGTTTCAAATTAATATTATGCCCGTGCATTATGCAGGATTAGCAGCATCAAAGGGAGGGGGAAGGGGGGTAGCATTAACAAAGGAAAGGAATGTTAATAGTATGTAGCTGCAGTTACTAAACAACCACGTAAAAAACTAAAGTATAAACTACATAAACAACTAAAGTATAAACTACATAGCATCATCAGTATACTTACTATACTCTACAATAAGCTGAGTTACTAACAGTAAGTAATACATTACAATTCTACGTCGTAAAAATTATATAAAATGCTTCCATCTAAACTTTATTCTCTTACATCACACGAGTCTACACCGTACTATATACTGCCATAGACAAACCCAACATTAAATATATACTGTATTGCTATAAACCACCTTATACATTTTAATATAACACTATGTATTATTCTAGGTATAGAGTGGTTTATAGCAATACAGTATATAATTTAATGTTGGGTTTGTCTATGGCAGTATATAGTACGGTGTAGACTTGTGTGATGTAAGAGAATAAAGTTTAGATGGAAGCATATTATATAATTTTTACGACGTAGAATTGTAATGTATTACTTACTGTTAGTAACTCAGCTTATTGTAGAGTATAGTAAGTATACTGATGATGCTATGTAGTTTATACTTTAGTTGTTTATGTAGTTTATACTTTAGCTTTTTACGTGGTTGTTTAGTAACTGCAGCTACATACTATTAACATTCCTTTCCTTTGTTAATGCTACCCCCCTTCCCCCTCCCTTTGATGCTGCTAATCCTGCATAATGCACGGGCATAATATTAATTTGAAACCCCCCCGCCTACCTCCTACGTATTTTGCATATGCTAAATTCCTCTTGATATCCAAATTATTTTGTCAAGGCTCTCTTCTTCCCACCTCCCCCCCTCCAACCCAGCTTAAATATACTCTCCAAGCTTGGTGGTGTTTCATTCTTCACCTGAGGACGGCTGCTTGCGTTGTGGCCGAAACGTCGTGAGAATTATTTTATTATGTTTTATTTTTATTATTGTATTACTTCCCTTCTACGTGACTTTACCGAAAGAACAAAGAAGATGAATCCCTGCAGTCACGAAAGCTTTAAATCGAGGTATATAATCTGTTCAGAGTTTGGCAACCGCTGCTCTTGGACATTACTTATGACAGCAAATGGTGGCAAAATTTACAATTTGCCATGAAGTTTGAGCTGCTTCTTAAAAAACGTAAAAAAACATCACGTGCAGGACACGAGGAGTGATGGCTGAAGAAACATTTATTAGTGTCTGTCATGTCGAATCAGTTTTCAGACCGTACGCACCAAGGACATCACACGAACTGTACTGTGTCTACCAATAGGCAGCTAGTACCAAGCACAGCCCAGCATGAGAGTGATAATACTTCATTTTAAGTGGCACTAGATTGGTTTGCAAAACAATAGCAAATACTCTATTATCTGCATTGCAATGCGAATTTATTTTTTATTTTTGATCAACAATGACCGCACCAAACTTTTACTCTGGACGTAATACTGAAGGTCCACTTAAAATAAAGCATTACGTTAGAAAAGTAAAAACGAACATGGTAAATACATAACTTATATTACACTGTTACAAACAAAAATAAAACTCTATTTTCCCCTATGTTACACATACAGATGGTTATCGTCAACTTTTATTTTCATCTTTTTTAGCTCCAAGTCAATAAACACTGAGATATGATTGTCTTTTTTCATGTTTTTTTTAAAATAAAAGTTACTTTTTAAAACGGTCTTTTTTTTACATATTACAAGTCAAAATTATTGTTCATATCGCCCGTGGAATGCCTCATAGCGGGATGTGAATAAATATGATGACAGTAGGCATTGTGCTTTTGTCCAATTCCTTTTAATCACGGGGAACTATGGAGCTAAAAAACTCTGCAGAGACAAAGTTGCATAAATAACACGAACATTTTAACACTCTTACACAGCAGCTGTGAGCAAGTCCCACAAGCAATATGAACAGTATTCACACACATCGCATATGTTTTGTGAACAGTTTACACTATTGATTTAAGCATTTTTCATTAAAACAGTGCTCTCTCAACACACCAGTTTTGACTGTGGTTGCACGACGGCGGATAGCTACATGAAAAGCAAGAAACCGAAACGAGCAACATTCCAAATAACAGTCCATGTGACACAACTTAACCAAACTGAAAAATTTTCATATTTTGAAATGCAGCTAGGAAATCTATTTGTGTTGGCATGGCCAACATATGGACTAATATCTACAGTATCTACACATAAATTGGACGTACGATACAGGGCAAAGCTGAATAAATAAATAGGGATTTGTAAGAAAAACCTAATAACAAAAGGCTGTTAAATACAATAAGCAAGGACCTATAAAGCAGCACGGTCCATTATATTAGCATCGACTGGACTACTGGTGGCAGAAGGCATGCAGTTTGTGCTTCTATTCATTTCTAAGCGTCTCTTGTTTAACACCCCACGAGGAAGTGAAGTTCGTCTATGCTGATCAATTACAAATTGTGAAAACCTTTACCTGAGTTTGTCATTTATTACGTTGAAATATGTAGCAGCCTGTGCATATAATGGAAGGAACTTGGGGGTACTAAGACGATATTAATCTAATTCATTATGACTTAGTCTTGAAATAGTAATAAAAACATGTTTGGCACTCTAAATTCAAAATACAAGAAGGAAAATTCTAATTGTCATTTGTTTCCATTCTACAAAATGTTTACGATACTTGTCGGTTGTTCTATGCGTAATGGGAGTCGAACGTATGCGTTGAACTGACGTCGGCATTAGAATAGGTTAGATACACTAAGCACACTCCATGAGCCAGCTGATGGGCATTCATGTACCTGAGTCCTAAGCAGGGAGGCCCCACAACACAGAGGCCTGTGTCAATTAAGAAAGACCTGCGCTCTCCTTTTAAGCCATGTTGTGCCTCACATACATCACTAACATGACAGCCTTTTCAAGTCTCTAACAATTACAAAACCGTACCAATCTGCCAAAGCCAAGATAACAATTGAAATATTAAAGACATTTAAATTATTATTTTTATTAAGAGTAGCAGTAATTGACACTGGAGTGTGTTGAACGTGCGCTTTGACATGTATAAAAACAGAGGTATGCCAACGCAAGAGAAACTCCGTTCATTGTGTCTAAGATACAATAGTAGACTTCCTTAACGTGTCTCGTTTTCATTCCATTGTCAACCCTCAAGCGATCTCATCACCAAACGACAGAGCATCGTTGACACACAACTTTGCCAACGGCAGTTTTCGAGGGATGTAACGTCTCCTACAATGTTGTTACACATTGCTCGGATTCATCACAACAGTGAATCCACCGAGTGCTGCGATTTTGTTGACGAATGGGCGATGGCCGGGATGGCGAGTTCATGGTTTTTCACAGAGTCCGGATGAAGTCTTAAAAAAAAGCTATATGCTTTAACAAGAATAAAGTTGGGACTATTTTAAGCGATATACACTGCAAATATCGGTCACATTCACACTCCCAATATGTATATAGCACTTTCTACTTTATTTCGCTTAGAGGATAAAATGTAAACAACTTTTCATTGTGCTCAATATAACTGTAAAATGTTAGTTTTATCTCCAAAATCAGATGTTTGTTGAAATTCTGTACCTATGCAGCTTTAAAAGCAAGTACCTATTTTATGATTTATTTCAAAATAAATAAAAATAAAAACCAAAAATAAAAAAAACTGCTTTGAAGTGCTAGACAAGAAAAAAACTCAGTTCTATATTTTCATCGAGCAGACAGACCACGACCTCCTGTGTGTGTGTGTTACCTCCTGTGTGTGTGTGTGTATGACCAACATACCACGACCTCCTGTGTGTGTGTGACCAACACACCACGACCTCCTGTGTGTGTGACCTCCTGTGTGTGTGTGTGTGTGACCAACACACCACGACCTCCTGTGTGTGTACGTGACTAACAGTGGGGAGGGCTCTGGTCCCTCCGCGCGACACTCCAGCCAGTCCACGTGCGCTAGGTGGTGACTCGTCAGTCTTGGAAGCTGCTGTTGATGCTGCTGGGTATGAAGAGCAGCATTAAAGTGGGGGTTATTTGGCACTTAAAATCATTATATATATTTCTTTGCTCTTTTGCCAACATTTTCCGTTACACATTTGTTGCCAATAAAATGGAGCAAAAGCAGCAAGATTTCTAGCTAAACACATAAGCCAACGGCATTAACACTGTGTTACACGTTGCTGCAGGCTGGCACCGACTCTTGACATCTTAGTGCACCTGTTCCCTTTTTGAAGGCGTGCACCAGAAAAGACGTCCCGCCAAGCGGTGACAAATTGAGTGACAGTGTACGATATCCGGAGGGCAAAATTTACCTCCACTTGGTTCCTCTATAACTCTCACCGCACCAGAGCAAAGATGGGAAATATATTCGCTAAAGTTGCATTTTTATACTTTACAAAGATAAAAGTTATATCTTTAAATACAATCAAGCCGAACACATTGACGAAGCCTTAGCCTGTACACTCAGCCAAACTATCTCGACAGACGATGCACTGGACAGGCGAACCCAAACCATTACTGACGCCGAGATGCCACCTTGAATTGTAAAATTATAGGAGGAACATAACCTTCCATTTGTCTTTTAGATTTGTTTTAGTTGATATAATTTAAAACAATATCCAGAAACACATTAACATTATATAGTGAGTTTCGTTACACTATGGATACACGAGGCGTGTAGTTATTTGTTTAGTCCCTGTTTCGATCTCAGCATTGTTTGTGTGTGGCTATTTTAATTATTTATTCAAATATTTTCACCTGGAAAATCCCTTCAGATGGAAGATCTCATTTGTAAGTGTGTCCAGGGTGTATGTGTGTAATTTAAAGTTACTTCTTTTGTGGAATAACACTGTAACATAGCAAATGATATTACTACACCAGCTTGGCATATCACGGACGGTGAGTGTGAATCTGTACAAGAGTACAACATATTTTTACTGCCTCCAATAATGTTGGTGAAAGTCTTCATAAAGAAACAAAAACACCTTGCATAATCCAAATGTTATACGTCGCTTATATCATCCATAAGAAGGTTTCTTTTGGTTAATGTGTCGTTAAAACCCGCCACCACCCAACACAGCCAACTACTAAGGGTTGTCACGTAAACAGAACGTGGCCAATTCGTCGCTAGTACAGCACACCGGTGTGTTTGGAGAGCCAAGCCTCAGAATTTACAATCTGAGTACGACGTTTCGCCAGTAATTTTATCCAGAATGAACTACTCGGATTCCTGATAAAATGACGAACACCGTTGTGAACTCCCTTTTGGCAACAGTTACGTCTTTGCCCAGAGAATGATAATAATTAAGACATTGAAAGAACGTGCGATTATGTCGAAATATCTCAAGTGCGCTGCGTCGCTGGAAGGTAACAGGCGAGCCTTTCGGTCTCGTCTCACTATTGAGAGACGAGACGTCTTTGTCCTTAATTACCTTCGACAGTGCATTTCACAATAGTGCTTGTCTCTCAATCGGTCTGCCTGTTCCAGACACCAAATAGCATGCCTTGGCATGGCTGTTGTTGGGGTGTTTTTCTGTCTGGTCAAGAGCTGGGCAAGGCAAAATTAAGCGAAATACCAAATATCAGATATATCTATGTGTGTACAGTACATGGAGATTCGGTGCTGAGAACATCAACTCACCACACTCCAAAACGTTTCTTACTTTGCAGTGATTAGGATTTGCTTTCTGGATATCAGTGGACATTAACACTGGAATTAACCAACTGGATCACTCCATGTTAGACTTAAGTATAAGTAAAAGGGCATATAATAATCTAATATTGTATTCTAGAAGTTCAGTGACTATAAGAGTTTGAGTTTGTGCATACCAGTCGGAATATGATATGACTACTTCTTGTGTACTAGTATATGAATGTACGTCTTGGGTCGTACAATTCGACGGTACTCCATACTGGCACAGACCATCACACGTGTGTACCGAGACTATTCAGAACGGGTTCCATTGCTACGCTGTGATGTTTACGCCGAGGATAAACTGCAGTGAACATGGGCTGTTGCAGAACGAAGAGGTTTTACAGCGGCGCTCCATGCGTTTACATCTCAACCACCGCATGGACATGACATACGGAACGTGGCAGATAGTTTGCTGAGCTAACTGGCAGACAGGGCCACAGCGTGCCCAATCAAGGCTTTGGGCAAATCTATGGGAAAGAAATGGAAAACAATAACAACACTATTTTCTGTAAGCTCCTATATGACTTGTTTAAAATGTATGAAAATGTGAACTATATTCAGCTCAGTAAACGATGAGTTATTTAATATGGTCATACTTTCGTTTGTTGTACAGTATTAATGCTTCTTGGTCTTCAACTGAGGATGGCTGCTTGCGTTGTGGCAGAAACGTCGTGAGAATTATTTTATTATGTTTTATTTTTATTATTTTATTATTTTCCCTTCTACGTGACTTTACCGAAAGAACCAAGAAGATGAATCCCTGCAGTCACGAAAGCTTTAAATCGAAAAAAAAGTATTCATGCTGTCGCTTTATTTCTTGCACTATTTTCATGCAAGACCTGGGATACACTCATTATGAAAGCTTATTTTTAATCACATCAGGTTTTGAATTGACAAAATAAAATGCGTACACTGCATCACTTTATTGTGTCATGGCATTACGATATGTTCCTTCTAATGCAGTCAAAGTCTGTATTCACTAGATATGTATTTCTGTGCAGAAGTATATTTTGAGCATCGAGTCATAACGCTTTGGTGCACATTCTGTCCAGCACATCTCTTGTCTTTTTAAATCACAACTTAATAGGAGGGCATCATTTAAGAAATAATAATTTGTAGAAAATAATTTGGCTGGTTACCGCAGGCTTTTGGCCCATGATCCTGCTTGTAAAGGCTGGGTTTTAATCTCTGTGTACACGAAGGGGGTTCAAAATTGCGTTAAATTGTTCATCGTCGTCTGGCTGGGTCTGGAGTTTGAAGCGTACACGACTGGCTGCCGCTTGTTCTCGGTGCCCCGCGTGGGCATGCGCCCACACCCGCCCGCCTGCCCGCTCGCTCGCCCGTGCTAGGCGTGGTGCTCGCTCTCCTGCTCATTCCCACTGCTGTATTCCACAGCCTCCTCATCCTCATACTCATACATTTCGCTGTCGTCCCCATTGAGTTCCTCCTTGGGCTGCACTGCCGGTGCCCCCAGGCCGTAGCTCATGTTGGCAAAGACGGGGGGGGGCAGGCCGGACTGAGGGCTGCCCGAGCCGCTGGAGCGCTCCGAGATCTGAGGCGACGGTGCCGAGCTGGCCATGGCGAAGGTGCCAGGGTAGACCATGCTGGCCGAGGACATGGGCAACTGGGACTGCGGGCTGGACACAACGCAAAAACAGCGATGTTTAATATCGGTATTGCCCAAACACAACACACACACAGCTACCACATTAAAAGTACTCTACAATTTTAGCGACATGGCTATCACAAATGGAAAATGAACAAATTGTGGCTTATCATCACGTGGAAATTGATAGTAGCAGCCAAATACTCTTAAACGCACGTTGATTCTAAATGTGGGGGAAAAAGCCGGAGGACCCGGAGAAAAATCCACGCAACCACAGGGAGAACATGCAAACTCCAAATATACAGCAGGCGTCAGGGTCAGAATCGAACCCACGACATCCGGCATACTAGGTGAGGTTGTTAACATATTGTTACCGTGGCACCCTCTATATCGGTATTAACTTTAATCACGGTGTCAACCAAACACCAACACACACAGCGACCAAATTAAAATTACTCAACCGGGATTATAAACACAGAGCAATAATTGCACCCCACTGGCAGCGTAATGCCCACCTGTGGTGCTGTGTCACTGCTGGGGGTGCCCTTCAAATGTTCGGGATGAGACGCGATTGAAGGCGCTTTGACTTGCCGAGGCATTTCAGAGCCAAATAAATGCAAATAATATTATTTTTCTGTTAGCTATATGTAAGTCACCAAAAAAACAACACGTTTATGATAGTTGTTTACAATTAAACAATTTGGATTTATGTCGCGTCCGAGGGGGACCGGATCTATTGGATAGGCAAATAACTGAAGTTCAAGAGGGAAGAGGCAGAGATAAGGAAATCGTTGCTACACTGTCATTCATTCAAGATAGCATTTTTTTAATGTCCAAAAAAACATAAAACGTTAAGTTAAATGCTCACTGTGGCAGCAGTTTCGTGGTAAAAGGCAGGCAGTCCAGTCAAGTTCTATTTTTATGTTGATATTTGCGGTTTCAACCATGTGCGATGCAATTCCATATTCATTTTGAAATGCATGAGCCCTTGTATGCAAACACGACTCAGGGGATGTACACAAGGCACAGTAGTGCACATGTGTAGATGCATCATGAGATTCGCGACTACATGTGCATCCTAAAAGAGGTGTCCATATTTTACCAGCTTACGCGGGAGTCTCAAGACTCTTTTGTTGATGAGGGTCCTGCCACGTTTCTTTTGACAGTAGGAGGTGATGTTTCAATGTGTAACCGATTGAGTAATTGCAAATATTTTTTTAGCGCTCGGATGTTTCGCCAATACTGGTTGCATTGCATGTTCCCTTTGAGCTATGGAAGAAAACCGGAGAACCCGTAGAAAACCCGTGTTGAACATGGGGAGAACGTGCAAACGCTACGTGTATAGAACAGGGGAAGAACGTGCAAACGCTACGTGTATAGAACAGGGGGAGAACGTACACACGCTACGTGTATAGAACAGGGGGAAAACGTACACATGCTACGTGTATAGAACAGGGGGAGAACGTACACACGCTACGTGTATAGAACAAGGGGAGAACGTACACACGCCACGTGTATAGAACAGGGGGAGAACGTACACACGCTAGGTGTATAGAACAGGGGGAGAACGTGCAAACGCTACGTGTATAGAACAGGGGGAGAACGTACACACGCTACGTGTATAGAACAGGGGAAGAACGTACACACGCCACGTGTATAGAACAGGGGGAGAACGTACACACGCTACGTGTATAGAACAGGGGGAGAACGTGCAAACGCTACGTGTATAGAACAGGGGAAGAACGTACACACGCTACGTGTATAGAACAGGGGGAGAACGTGCAAACGCTACGTGTATAGAACAGGGGGAGAACGTACACACGCTACGTGTATAGAACAAGGGGAGAACGTACACACGCCACGTGTATAGAACAGGGGGAGAACGTGCACACGCTACGTGTATAGAACAGGGGGAGAACGTGCACACGCTACGTGTATAGAACAGGGGGAGAACGTACACACGCTACGTGTATAGAACAGGGGGAGAACGTGCACACGCCATGTGTATAGAACAGGGGGAGAACGTACACACGCTTCGTGTATAGAACAGGGAGAGAACGTACACACGCCACGTGTATAGAACAGGGAGAGAACGTACACACGCTACGTGTATAGAACAGGGGGAGAACGTACACACGTCACGTGTATAGAACAGGGGGATAACGTACACACGCTACGTGTATAGAACAGGCGGAGAACATACACACGCTACGTGTATAGAACAGGGATAGAACGTACACACGCTACGTGTATAGAACAGGGGGAGAACGTGCACACGCTAGGTGTATAGAACAGGGGGAGAACGTACACACGCTACGTGTATAGAACAGGGGGAGAACGTACACACGCCACGTGTATAGAACAGGGGGAGAACGTGCACACGCTACGTGTATAGAACAGGGGGAGAACGTACACACGCTACGTGTATAGAACAGGGGGAGAACGTACACATGCTACGTGTATAAAACAGGGGGAGAACGTGCACACGCTACGTGTATAGAACAGGGGGAGAACGTACACACGCTACGTGTATAGAACAGGGGGAGAACGTGCACACGCTACGTGTATAGAACAGGGGGAGAACGTACACACGCTATGTGTATAGAACAGGGGGAGAACGTACACACGCTACGTGTATAGAACAGGGGGAGAACGTGCACACGCTACGTGTATAGAACAGGGGGAGAACGTACACACGCTACGTGTATAGAACAGGGGGAGAACGTACACACGCCATGTGTATAGAACAGGGGGAGAACGTACACACGCCATGTGTATAGAACAGGGGGAGAACGTACACACGCCATGTGTATAGAACAGGGGGAGAACGTACACACGCCACGTGTATAGAACAGGGGGAGAACGTACACACGCCATGTGTATAGAACAGGGGGAGAACGTGCACACGCTACGTGTATAGAACAGGGGGAGAACGTGCACACGCCATGTGTATAGAACAGGGGGAGAATGTACACACGCTACGTGTATAGAACAGGGGGAGAACGTACACACGCTAGGTGTATAGAACAGGGGGAGAACGTACACACGCCACGTGTATAGAACAGGGGGAGAACGTACACACGCCATGTGTATAGAACAGGGGGAGAACGTACACACGCTACGTGTATAGAACAGGGGGAGAACGTACACACGCTACGTGTATAGAATAGGGGGAGAACGTACACACGCCATGTGTATAGAACAGGGGGAGAACGTACACACGCCACGTGTATAGAATAGGGGGAGAACGTACAAACGCTACGTGTATAGAACAGGGGAAGAACGTACACACGCTACGTGTATAGAACAGGGGGAGAACGTACAAACGCTACGTGTATAGAACAGGGGGAGAACGTACACACGCCATGTGTGTAGAACAGGGGGAGAACGTACACACGCAACGTGTATAGAACAGGGGGAGAACGTACACATGCTACGTGTATAGAATAGGGGGAGAACGTACAAACGCTACGTGTATAGAACAGGGGAAGAACGTACACACGCTACGTGTATAGAACAGGGGAAGAACGTACACACGCTACGTGTATAGAAGAGGGGAAGAACGTACAGACGCTACGTGTATAGAACAGGGGGAGAACGTACAGACGCTACGTGTATAGAACAGGGGGAGAACGTACAGACGCTACATGTATAGAACAGGGGGAGAACGTACACACGCTACGTGTATAGAACAGGGGGAGAATGTACACACGCCATGTGTATAGAACAGGGGAAGAACGTACACACGCTAGGTGTATAGAACAAGGGGAGAACGTACACACGCTTCGTGTATAGAACAGGGGGAGAACGTACACACGCTATGTGTATAGAACAGGGGGAGAACGTACACACGCCATGTGTATAGAACAGGGGGAGAACGTACACACGCTACGTGTATAGAACAGGGGGTGAACGTACACACGCTACGTGTATAGAACAGGGGGAGAACGTACACAGGCCATGTGTATAGAACAGGGGGAGAACGTACACACGCTACGTGTATAGAACAGGGGGAGAACGTACACACGCTATGTGTAAAGAACAGGGGAAGAACGTACACACGCTACGTGTATAGAACAGGGGGAGAACGTGCACACGCCATGTGTATAGAACAGGGGGAGAACGTACAAACGCTACGTGTATAGAACAGGGGGAGAACGTACACACGCCACGTGTATAGAACAGGGGGAGAACGTACACACGCTACGTGTATAGAACAGGGGAGAACGTACACACGCTATGTTTATAGAACAGGGGAAGAACGTACACACGCTACGTGTATAGAACAGGGGAAGAACGTACACACGCTACGTGTATAGAACAGGGGAAGAACGTACACACGCTACGTGTATAGAACAGGGGGAGAACGTGCACACGCCATGTGTATAGAACAGGGGACCTGATAGCTTCCAGCACGGTTTCCTTTCACATCGCAGTTGTTGCGCCAAATTTTCGCTAGAACCCGACCAGGTCTCACAGTGCATGAAGAATGATAGTAACAGTCATTGAAAGTCGACTTTTTTTTGGTTAGACCATGTAATGATATAGCCAAATTTGTGTTGCTAAGACCCGTCACCACCCAACACAGCCAAACAGATTTATTTACCACAGGGTGTACACACGTTTTAGCGACGCGCCAATGATTATTGTTTCAGCTCCCTAGTAAGTGGCGAGATGTTAACTACCTCGCCTGGTATGCAGGAGGTCGTGCATTCGATCCCGACCCTGACGCTTGCATGTATTAGAGTTTGTTTAACATGTAAGCATACGCGACAAACATTATTAATGAGAAAGGTTTTTGGGGTTAGATCGCGTAAGTATCAATGTGTCGTAACCCTCCACCACCCGACACAGCCAGTAAGGTTTGTCACCTAAACAAAACGCGCCAATTAGTTACCACTTCAGTTCACTGGTGTGTTGGAGAGTAAATCCACAACATTTACAATTTGAGTACTCAACCATAATAGATGCGAAATCCTACGTGTTAAACTTGAGTGCGCAAATTGTAGTAAACTATTTGGCACGTTTTGTTTAGATGACACACCTTACTGGCTGTGTCGGGTGGTGGAGGGTTACGACACATTGATACTTACGCGATCTAACCCCAAAAACCTTTATTATGTATATTTGAGTTTGCATCTTATCTCCGTGGTTCGTGTGGATTTTTATCCAGGTCCTCCGGTTTTTCCCTCCACATTTAGAAACATGCGTTTAGAGTATTTGGCTGCTAGAAATGTCCACATGATAAGCCACTTCGTTGAGTATCATTTGTGGCCAGGTCGCTTCAGAAAAAGAAGCTCAGTGGGCGTGACCTGGTAAAATAAAAAGTCGTTCATAGTTTTAAGTTTAATGACAATTCTCACAATCAACCTCACCAAATATGAGATGCAACTTTTCGCTTTAAACATCGTCACCTGACCTGGCTTCATAAATCGGTATCACGAGGCAGAAGATTAGTGCTGGATACAATCAAATTTGCCAATGTCATTGGTCACTTTGATCTTTACCCATGTATTGACAGTTATATTTTAAATGTGAAATTTTATTGAGGCACTGTGTTGTCTTGGTGTGGTCTGGGACAGTTTTTTGCTGCCTTGTACTTATGCAATTTGTACTTATATAGTTTATATATTTAGTGATTTGCTTAGCTTTCCGATACTTTGCACTCCTATCGGGTTTTTGTATTGTTAGTTGTTGTAAATTTATGACCTGCCCCTACTTGGACATCTGTGGAAAAAGAGCTTCATAGCTCATTGGATTCCTCCTGCAGTCTAAATAAAGATTCTGACTCTGATTTGTACACGTGACAACTTACTACGGTTGGCTACGTCAGGTGGTGGAGCACATTGACAACACAAATTTGGCCAGATAATTACACTACGTGGCCTAGACCAAAAACAAACTATGAACCATAATATTGGCTGTGAAAACCTCCGTGCTGAATAAAACAAAAGTATTTGTATCTTACCCCACATTGTAGAACTGCTTCATCTCCTGGCGCCGATTGCGCATCAGAGCCTTGTACTCGCCTATGCGGAGCTTCTTCCCGTCCACGATGCACGTGCGCTTGGGGCGAGGCTTGTACTTGTAGTCGGGATACTTCTCCAGGTGCAGTTTGCTCAGGCGCGCTTGTTCCTCGTAATATGGCTGCTTCTCCTGGTTGGACATGCTCTTCCAGCGTGAGCCTGGACACACACACACACAAAGATCCCCCGTAGAGCTTCAATGCACTTTTTGGGGCAAGTGCGTTAGTGAGCACCGATGAAGGCCGGCACGGCACACGAGAGGGAGGTTGACCAGCACCATACCCGGCCGCCTTTGTCTCCCTCGTGACAATGTTTGCACATCGCACGAGGTACTCATTTAAGGCTGAGTCGACCTAGGGGAGTCTAGACACACACGCGTGAGTCTAGAAACACACGCGTGTGAGCCTACACACGTGCGTGTGCAGACATTTTGTACTCGTATATATTATCCGAACATATTTAAAGAAACTGTTTATAAAATAATAGTTAGCGTCATTGCGGAGAGTATATGTAACAAAATAGATAAGCAAACAATACTCATGTATGCATATGTCCCTCCGCATAAAAATATTAAACTATATTTTACACATTTCATCAGCTACACGGCCATCTGGGAATTGGTGAATACAATTAAACTCTGGATCTATTGTATGAAATTAGTTCACATATTTGCTATTCTTGTTTACCCAGGAAAGCCTCACGAGTGTCAAGACTCTTTGTCAGCAAGGTACTGCCAAGTTGTCGCAGTAGGGGGCGATGTTACTGCAGTGTGTGATCCCAATTGAGTAACATGCAGCTAACTTTACAGCATTGGGTTGTTTGGCCTTTACCAATTACAATGTATGTTTATTTAGCTTTGACATTCAGTATCTCATCAGCAGAGACAGGGTTCCTTCAACCAATGCTGGTGTACTGCCAGATGTTATTAGGCAAGGAGCCTCTCTGATTGTTTCTTGCGTCTGCTTGTGTCGACTCAATGCTGTGGTGGGACAGATACATTGTCTGCTTGTGTCGACTCAATGCTGTGGTGGGACAGATACATTGTCTGCTTGTGTCGACTCAATGCTGTGGTGGGACAGATACATTGTCTGCTTGTGTCGACTCAATGCTGTGGTGGGACAGATACATTGTCTGCTTGTGTCGACTCAATGCTGTGGTGGGACAGATACATTGTCTGCTTGTGTCGACTCAATGCTGTGGTGGGACAGATACATTGTCTGCTTGTGTCGACTCAATGCTGTGGTGGGACAGATACATTGTCTGCTTGTGTCGACTCAATGCTGTGGTGGGACAGATAGATTGTCTGCTTGTGTCGACTCAATGCTGTGGTGGGACAGATACATTGTCTGCTTGTGTCGACTCAATGCTGTGGTGGGACAGATACATTGTCTGCTTGTGTCGACACGGGATCTACATCGCGAATATGCACAGTTGTTCCCGCATCGTGCTCGCCACGTGTCCTCACCTAGTATCTTGCTTATGTTCGAGTTGTGCATGTCCGGGAAAGCTTGAAGGATTTTCCGCCTCTCGTCCTTTGCCCAGACCATGAACGCATTCATCGGCCGCTTGATGTGAGGTTCATTGCTCCCTCTGCTTCTTGACTCGCGGAATACTCTTGCATCCGACATGGAGTTGCTTCCTGCACAAGGCGATCACCCGCGCACACACGCAACCAACGGCAGTTCAGGCAACGAGTCAGGCCACTTGCTAGAGACGCGGCACTTTTGTCAACCCACTGCTGGATGAGGGCTTGTCTGTCACTCCGTGTGGGCTGTGGTGGGGCCGAGTTGACCGCGTTTCTCTGCGCTGGGCAGCGGCATGTTGGTGAAAGAGGCAGCACGGACGTTGGAGAACGGAACGACGGTGGATTTGGCCACACTACCCTCTGTTGACAAAGTCACCTCACAGCAGCCTATAGCATCTGTTATGCTTGGTGGTCGCCCATCCAAGCACTATCCACGCTCACCCCTACTTATCTTCGAAATCTGATGAAATTGAATAGACACTTGATTTTGGCATTTGGCCAGGAGATTTAGTTCAAGTAAATTACATAGCCTATAGCGTGTTTCTCTTTAGTCACCGCGTGCTTGGGTCTATAGTTCAAGCAGCGAGTTTCGTTATCTGGGCTGAGTTTCTCAGTGCTTGAATGGGGAAGCATGCAATCGTCTTGAGATATTGGCTGCATTTAGATGCTTTGTCAATACAAATTGTACCGTAAAAACTGAATACATCTCAGAAAGCGTTCCGTTTTCGTCTTGCAGTCCCTCTTCCAATAGCAAATGCGCTTTGTACTGTGGTTAGGGATTTAAAATATTGGCATTATGAAAACATCTGTACAAATGAAGCCCATGTACAGAGTGAGGGACGAAATAACATGTTTACAAATGCAATAAACAGCAATGTATGTCGTGTAAAAGTGTGTTTGACTAGGAGTGCATTATACGGTGATATTTATGTGATCAGTCATCCTCTTATCTGTGAATTTTTACATATAAGAATTCCAATATGACCACTGGGAACGCGGGTTTCCTTTTGTAAATACAATCTCAGGTTGTCAAGAAGGAGTGTCCAACAATTGAAATGGTTGGTCTGCCTCAGAATGGCCTCATGGCTGTGTGCTGAAGCCAGCCTTAAGCCCTCTCGATAGCACCCTGCCACATACTGTCATGACGGAACCAGCCTTATCTGCCTGGTTGTCTTAGCTCGCTTGTCTCTCTTAAATGGCCACTGCTCATAAAGGAAATTATCTAATAACATCAACAAATATTCAGACAATACTCCCCCCTTGCCAAATGTGTCTCTCCACGTAAAAATATATTTTGTTCACATCCCATCGGCCACACGGCCTTATAGGAGTGCATAATTTCAGCAGCATTGGTTCAACACAAGCAAGCTCTGGGCCGGTTTTGACATTCAGTGTCTCATCAGCAGAGTCAGGCTTTGCTGAAGCCAATGCTGGTGAACTGCTAGATTGTTTCTCCTCTGCTGCGCGACTTACGTCATGCATCCATCTTCATTTTGTCGTGCTAATCGTGCTTCCCTGCGGCCCCCTGCCAGACAAACAAGGTTGCTTCTTTGTACCACAAAACACGCAAACTAAATTGCTCCCAAGCTGCCTTCCCTCTGGTGACAACTTGAAGAGGTTCGCATTTGCATGTGTATCATCGTACGCTGCGACCACTTTGAAATGTTCGATGGAAGAAATACAATAGGTTTCAGCGTCATGTCTTTAATGGGGGTGTACTCCCAATTTTCTGATCAATCCAAAACTCTGTAAATCAGACAGTAAATTTGGGACGATACGTTTGTTTGTTTGTTTTTGATCTGGAAACATGCCATTACAGCCACGATTTATTTTCCTATCAACGATGGTGTCACGAGGCAAGGGATGGCGTTACAATTGTTAACACAGAGGCACTCTGCATTCAAAGGCAGTGTATAAATCGTGCGAAGAATCAGAATCCGTATGTTTTTGTCTGAAACCCATCCATAGTCTGTATTATTCTGGGTCTTTCCCGTAACAGAATTCACCTTTGCGTCCATCAAGGTACATTGGAACTGTGCATGACTTTTGTTTTTAAGTCACAGTGTGAGAATAAAGAATGTCTCCTGTACGTATGCCGACGAGTCATGTAAAATTGGCAATGTGTAACTGCGAGGGCTGTTGGTTTTTTTGCAAGATGAATAAGCGTTGGCTTCGAAGCAAAGTGCGCCTGTTAACAGCGGAGGAGATCATTACCTTCCATGTCTTCGTTTGCACTTGTCAGGTCGATGACGCTGTGGCGGAAAGGGCCGTCGTCTGCCGCCTTCCCAGATAGCTGGTGCATCAGAGGTGACAGCATCACTTTGTCCTAAACAGCACAGAAAAGCATCTAGAATTATCCAAGTGAAATCAACGCACCAGCATGGATAGGGGAACGCCTGACGATGGAAATCCTGAGACCTTCATGGTAGGCATCCAACACGTCCCATTTAATGCAAGAATGTAACTTAGTCAATGATGTAAGATACAATGTTCTAAGAGGATCAAAAAGCTGAAATTGGGCTAAGATACAGTGGAGTCTATAACTTGAAAAAATGAAAAACAACATCTATCCCATTTTGGCCGCAAATATTACCGATCGGTGGTTGATTGGTTGTTCTCATATCTTTATAAAATAATCTAGAAAATAAACTAGAGTGGTGTGGATATATAGAATCTATAGAGTTATGATTCATTTTGTTTTACAGTGGTGTAGTGGTTCGTGCATAGCACCGTGAGAGATGACTTTACCTGTCTTTGTGACCACCACACATGAACCGGCATGGTGAGGTATGGTCAAACACAACCGACATGGAGGCTATCATCCAGTAGTCAATTGACAAAAGGACGATTTTTTTTTTTTCGTGGCGTAATGCAGACAATATAGAGTGTATGAAACTCTGGAATCTATAGAGGTGTAATACCACATACAAATGTGTATTTGAAATAATAATGTTACTCACAAGCTGATGCATCTCCTAAGGGCATGAGGATTGATTTTGATTAATCAATGGCTCATTATATCTATAAAAGGTGTCGAATGAGTCATCTGCTGGACAATTCAATGCAATGAGGTCACAATTCGATTTGTGAATCAAACATTTTTGCGATCGTCATGCACAGAATCGACAGTGGCTGCCGGCAATACAGTAAGCTACATTCCTACAACAAACACGAATTTGCAAATCACATTCTCCTGCCGAGCAGTTGCATGCGAGGAACTGTGGATGGGTCCCAATCGGCTCGGGATGATTTTGTATATGCGGCTGTAACTGGGTCCCATCAGACCCAGATTAGTCGAGACTGCAAATGAGACTCTTCTGGTCTCTGGAGTTTCTCACATCGTTAAACAATTACAACTTGAACAAACAAAAAAATCCCACTAAATAGACACGGTTTATTGGATGTCCACTTTGCGGGAAGCCAACGGTTGTTGCTCCATGGAAAGACTTGGCCCAGCAATAGGAATGTGGAATTTCCACCACTGCTTCATGGCTCTGTGGCAGAAGACACTCAATGCCCTGTGATCGTTAAGAGGGGCAAATCACCAACTCCGCTCCACGTGGTTATGACTGTTAAACACACATTGAAACGTGCTCTGCTCCGATAAGCACGGTTGGCTATGCACGGTGCTAAAGAATATCAACGTACGTACGTACAGTGCTGCACCCTGGAAATGCTGCCTAAAAGGCCAGCCAAATGTTTTAATATCAATGCACGTCTATAGGGCTTGCACTGTAACTGATTTACACATACATAACCAGAATCTTAGTAGAATTTTCTGCGCACAATGTAATTGAAAACATATATAAATAAATGTTGCAAGGCTCACATCGCTCTATATGGAGTAATGCCGAGCATGTGTGAGCTATCAATCTCATCCGTGTTTATACTTTTCAGAGGCACATTCTCATTTGTTTGTCAGCCATCAATAAAAGTGCTTCTGCTTTTTGGAGATGATCATGGTCCTGATGCTGAACCTCTTCGTGCTATTTATATATATATACAAATTATTATAATGATTGTTTACCGAGGAAAGCCTCACCGAGTCTAATTACAGTCTTGTTATGGTAAAGAACAGTCTGCAATAACACGTGAAATGCGTATGCAGGCCGAACAAAGACTGAGGCGTGTGGGTAGCATCTAGAAGCATCCAGCAGTATCCCGATGCCTTGCGTGATGCTACGCCGAGGCAGCCGTACGTCCGCTAATTCCTACTCACGCGACGTAGTTGGTTCACTCGATCGCGTTATATGCAATTCGCATCCGCGTTATAAAAAAATGTGTTTCCTATTACATTAATCGGGTGAAATCCAATTGGCGTTATGAAAACAACATGCGGCGTTTTAGGAGAACAGCCTGTAGCTCGTTCTAAGGAGAGTCCTGCCAGTAGGGGGCGATGTTGCTGCTACGTCTCCTCCTGATTGAGTAATTTGCAGGCACATTTTCAGCATTGGTTTGTTTGGCCAATACCACTGGCGCTGTGCAGTTATTTTAGCTATGGGAGGAAACCGGAGAACCCGGAGGGAACCCATGCACAACATGGGGACAACATGTAAACTCTACAGAGAGAGGCGTCAGAGTTGGGAATCGAACCCAGGCCCTCCGAGCTGTAAGGCACAAGTGTTGCCCCAGTGCTACCCTGCTGCCCAACGTGTTACAAGAGTACTACACACTCTGGCCTTAAGATACCAGGACCAGGCCATGTACAAATGTATCATACAATAATACAAGTGTGTAATGCGTGCTAAATATAAAACAGTTTTAAATTGTGAAAAAGACTGCATACAGTTTACACTTACGCGACGCACATGCTCCTAGTTATCGATGCTGAGGACACGCAGGAGCCAGCACGAACACAACGTGATATGACGTCACCAGCTGGATGGTCTTGAGGGGACTTAATAAGCCATGCATGATTTTGTTTTCGCTCGCCAGCGCATGTGTAAGAACGGGGCCCGTGAACATCGATCCAGAGGGAGGGAGGTAGGGAGGGAGGGAGGTAGCGGTCCGACGGTAAGTCGTCGGCGTTCTCCTGCCAACAAATTCAAATCTCCACAGAAGTCGCTGACCATAAAACCCTCCCGCGCCCCTAGCTGATAGCGCTGTGCACGTCGATGAAACACACAATGCCTCCTCGATGCACCGGATCCTAACCGCCAGGAACAACTCCGCCTCACAACCACCACCACCCCCCACCACAATACATCAATAACCACTTCAAAGGATAATCCGTTAAATGAACTCTACACTCAACTCTTGAAAATGTCTTCGCCTTGGTATACAGAACCAACAACATAATGTTCTTAAATAACTACTTGAATACCACATTCAAATATACAAAGACGAATTACAAGATAAGGTAAACACGAATACACAATTGTACGCGGTGCAAACCAGCACACATTGGCGTGAGCAGCGAGCCCGTTATGGCTTCCAAAGGGCTGCTCCCATTTACACAAGAGACCAAAACCGGGCATATTTCTCAGTCAGCCTATGTCTATCTACAGTGGGGGGATAAACTGAAATAAGTTCAACATAATGTCGGTACCATATCTTGGTACAAATCAATTTCTGCCACCTGAACGCAGGTGTCAATTCCCCGAATGCACCAGATTAAACCCGGGTTACCACCTGTCTGGGTCAAACCGGGACAGGTCGCAAACCCCCTGGCTTCACACCACTTGCGCAAAACACTCTGAAGGCAACGCTCAGAACTGCAAGCACATTAAACACAACGGCTGCCTACCCGGGTAATAGTGGAGCAGCATTCGATTCAAACAGCACGTCCAGCGGTGACGTCACAGTGCAACGTGTGCTAATGCAGTTCGCACGGCGTCGTCATAGCTATTCGCTGTGAAACTACCGCGCCCATTCCACTGGCTGCTTGACCATGCTAGCGCACAGACGTCGGGGACAGACGCGATATATAGACATACAATAACCAGCGCCAGCTCGGGGGCTTGGCGGGAGAGCGAGCGTATCGCAAGCGGAAGGTTTGCGGAGTTCAGATCCTATTTGGGAGTTGACTCAGCCCACGATTCGTCTGGTGTTGACTAAAAATTGAGTACCACGTTGTTGAGAAGTGAACAGCGGCTGTCCTATGTATTTACTCGCCCCCGCCATAGGAATGAGGAATTTTTCCTACTGACTCGGGGCTGTAAATGGGGAATAGGCACCACCTCAATCCTCATTTGAGCAGGAAGTCAATTTGACTTTGTAAAATAACAAGCAGCACTTTCAAATTATGACGTTAATTTTCCGATGCAATGTAAGTTATTTTGAAAAAAAAATGCATTCACCAATTCAATCTGCCAGCAATTTTTACAAAATACGTTGATCCAAAAAGGATGCTAATCTTGGGGGACATATGCACATTTCAAGAAAACCATAAAATCTCTCAACTCAACAAGTCACAGAATCAGCCACAAAACCATGGTTGGCAGGGAAATACAAACGTCGGATGGAACTGCTTCCACTTTGGTGGCGCGAATGCGTTTCTGTACCGGGCGGGGCTGGGAGCTTAGTAATTCTGTCCACTCCGCACGGTCACGTGGCCTTCAATGCCAGGCCCTGATTGGCTCCGACCCACTGGTGGGGGAAAAACTCACAGGACTACATAGAAATCAAAGCGTCCGTCGCGCTTATGCGAGTGAGTGACGGTGCACCCGTGCACCACAACACAAAGCCGCACCACGCGGATAATTATTTAATAATGTCACACCGCTGCATATGCTGCTTTGCATATTTTATGCAAAAAAGGTGCAAATGAACGTATTGATTCGTGAGGATGAAGTTGCCTGCACAAGAATATCATTCACATCTCGCTTTAGAAAATCAACAAAAAGTCCCTGGGATATTACAAAGATGAGACCTGATGCATGATGTACTAACGCCCCATCAACAGCCGTGTCATGATTAACACCCCAACGAGTTCATGAATTGCCACAATTCGGGGGTCACAATATTCTATTCAAACACTGATTCCTTTTTATCTAATTTTTATAGCTTGTCGGTATAGTTCCTCGTAATTCCCATCGGATTTTTCCAGTTTTGTCTGCTCCATTAGCCGAAATGTATCAGTAATAGTTTGGAAATAATTTCGACAAATCATAAATGATAGATTGTCACATATGCACCCATCACCTTCCGGGATTTTCAATATTCCAAACCATGGTAAGTGATTCACGCTCGCCCTGTGTCAGCCGTGGAACTCCGAGGGTCAGATGAGGTGAATGATTACAGTGGCATAGACGCTGATGCTCATTGCAACATTTTTCAGCGAGGGACTGGCTCAGGCGACGCCACGTGCGTTTGACAGGCCGCGTA